AGTGTTGTTGTTCTGTGTAGTTTTTTCCCTTAGTTGACTCTTACAACACCCACGGGATGAATAGGGGTGGTGACAATCTTTATTCTTAATCCGTCACCACACGAACCAGAAGTATTCAAAGAAAGCCACCACCAGAAGCCATTCACCAGAAGGCCATTGAAGTATTCAAAGCCTCATCCAAAGCTGTGTCCGTGATAATTAGTATCAAAGACATCTGTTTTTCATAGTTTCCTTAAGAACAGTCATAAGAAGTAATAGCTGTGAAGATATTTTTCTTTTGCCATTAGAAAAATATTATTATAGTAATTGTTTAAATATGATTCCTGAATATGATTAAATTTACTAACTTTTAAACTTTCGCGTTCCATGATAATTAATATTATTTAACGGGAATTAACGCGATCTCTTATTTAGGGTATTACATACCTCTGGTTTGCCTGACGTTTCGACCAGGTTGCACCGGCCGTGGTCACAGGCTGACACAGGTCACAGGATGATTAAATTTATTTATAATCCGTCCGTGTGGTGACGGATTAAGAACACGTAGTGTCACCCTCCCTATTCATCACGTGGGTGTCGTAAGAGGCGACTAAGGGAGCTAACATAGGACAACCAGCACTGCAAAGAGAAGGAAAACTTGACACAAACCCTATACCAACCCGTCTGGCAAGTGTGGTATAGTATGCCAAAACCTCCTTTCTAAGGAGAAGCCTATGTCCAGCAGTAGACTATTAAAGGCTGTTGATGTGATCTGATGTGATATTTATTATAAATTAAACTATTTGATGTTATGCTTTTGTAACACTTCCTTTCTTTATTATCCAAAGTGCTGGAAGCCTTCGTACATTAGTAAGTCTTACTTTATTCAATTCTTTAATATGCAAACCAAAATATTTACATACGTGTAAAAAAACCATCCGTGTCCCAACGACCTTCTAAGTGACCACCCAGGTGGACAGTAGGTGGTTTGATAGGAATAAAATTCCTGGAAAAAGGGGGATGAATTGGTAGCAAAGGGTCCCAACCGCTAGACTGGTACTTGTTAATTGATATTCAGACAGGAGTGAACGAAGACAAAAACTCTACATTTAGGGACTAAGTATATTTGTCCATGATAAGAGTTCAAAAACAATTTCAACTAAATCATATTTTCCTTCAAAAGGTCTTCTATGAGGTCGTGACCATCATTCCGGTCAAGCTGGCCCATATATGACGAAGCATGGCTTCTATATTTTTATCTAAGTTGGGAAGCAAGTACATGATCTTAACTAATATACAGATCACTCGCAACACCAGTAGCCCTTCTGTTGTGTACCAACATTATCCCCGAAGTGTTATCTTAACGATATGTACTATTAGGGCGAGGCAGCGTATGCTTAGTATGCACAGACGTCGTACATTTTCAGTCGGACAACTTCCGTACCAGCTGAAATGTTGTACATACCTACTCTGGCTCTCTCTTTCGAAATGCTATTGGTATTTTCTAATTCTCAACCTCCTCGATTATGCGAAAAACTCCTACATAATATAATCAGTTTTGAATTATGTGTAATGGAGTGGTAGAGTATGGAGGATCAGAAATTCTTAACACACTACATTGGGAGTTTTCTTTCGGTTGCCTAAAGGCGCCTGAACATACGTACTGCTAATTTAACATACACATAAAACAACATAATGTATAGGTCCAATATAAAGAGGCAAAACTAGTTGAAGTATACATATATCCCTAAAACGAGTATTTCTGAAATGAATCGGATTAACTATTATTGGAGTTATATGAAATATCCTATGAAATGTCCGTTACATGTATAATGTAGCTTATTGAGTATGTTAATAGATAATTTAATACAGTAAAAATATTAGGTACAATTCAAAATGACAACCAAGTTATAAAAAAAATCACCGCGGCAGTAGATATAGTTTTCTGCTCAAAGTACAACTGCAAGCAAGTAAAAAGAAGGTTACTGCACCCAATTGATAGGGTCGTAGAAATAGGAGCTAAGTTCGCTCATAAAGTAGAGATCTCCTCGGACGCCCCTATGTTTTAATTATTCTATCTGATGTTTATTTTAATCACTTCTCTCTCTCTCGATCTTAGTCTGTTATAGAACTTTATTTAAAAAAACAATTAATAAAATAATATGATCCCTCACAAATCAGACAGGCCAAAGAAACTAGAAAGTAATACTAATACCCAAAGAATACTTCTCTATTTACGTACAACTAGCTCAATTCAAAGCTTCACCAGCGTAAGAGTGGGTGACCTTTCAAGTATGTTCTGCCCTGTTTAAGACAACGTTCATGCAACATTTTATGAGTTCAGTAGTTAAAACATGATAACATAGCAAACAAATAATGAAAATTACATTCACATTTATAATATTAGTATGTTTAAAAGCACGCAGAAATTGGCCTTATTAGGCGATGGACAGGTAATCCTGTTTTGTTAATAATTATTTACAATACACTATAGGTATAAATATCTTTAAATAGCCTTACCCATAATTAGATGAGACCTTATACAAGTCCATCATAAAAAATTGCCAATCACAAACCGTTTACTACCCCTGGGTTCCGTTAAGATAAATCAATTATAACTACATTGTTATGAAACGAATAAAGCATTTAGAATGATAATATTGAACACTATTAGATCTCATTTATCTGTTTTGATTATATGTAGTCCATGATGAAACTCTATGATTAAAAAATAAAACAACAGGGGCGCACATCATTTCTAATTCATACAAATGTTTATTGAAGAAACTTATATTAGACTTTTTATATTCATACCTAATCCCGGCAATCCTAATAAAAACAGAAAACTTAAATTTTGATACAGATGAACCAGATACAGATAAACCCGTGACCTTTTCAGAGCTCAGTGGAGAGATCTATGAGATTACCTCAGGGCGCCTTCTAAGAGAAAAGAAGTGTGTGCGTGTGGGAAACCTACGGGACTCTTTAGAGGAAAACAACTTACACCTCAGTCATACATACATGTATATTTCAAAACAAAATTAAATTTACAATAAAAAAAAAATCAGAGGGTATAAAAAAAAAAACCGCAGCGGAGGCGCGTCAGAGCCGAGCTGATGGTGCTCGGTGCCACCTCGTCGTCCCTCCAGGAGGTTACTTCCTCTTCCGCCCGAGTCGGCTATTTATATTAGATACGGACAAAAGTCCAACAAATTACAATTATAAGTTCAAGTACGTAACTCTTGGGTACGGCTGTCCGCTTGCGTCGTGAGCCGCGCAATCACCAGCTTTGCCAGAGGGTACCGAGAAACTTGAGTCTGTACCAGAAGGCCACAAAAGAGCAAGCACGCCGTCTAAGACTGACTGTCTTGACCCCGATCTGGGACCCTACGAATGGATTAGCAAGAACGGAACCCTAAAGAAACGAGCTAAGCGAGCAATCCTACAGGTCTGTGTATAAAAATAGCTGGGAAAAGGTAGAAAATAAAAAGTTATAGTAGACGGGAAACCGGTAAGGAGGCAGATGGTTACAGCCTTTTTATTTATCTCTGGGAACATTCTTGTATCGTCTTGTTGTTTCTAGACTACGTGTTTAGTGGCACTGGCTACGGGATATCATCAATCAATCAAAATACATCGAAGTTCTGGAATCTTCGTTTGTGGTCAAATAGATTTTGTTGTTCAAATCACTGTCCCATGCTAACCACAATTTTCTATGTGAAAGGTAATCTTTCTTCCAATCTATACTACTGCCAATGGTATGCAAAGTTTTACGATAATCGGTTGAGTAGTTTCGGCGTGAAAGCGTCACAAATAGTGTTTGTTACATTCGCTTTTATAATATTATATGGGAAGTTAAAATTAAATTAGAAGTTAGAATATTGTATTGAACCGATAGATAGATATTCTAAATTGACACTGCAAAAGTAAACATTGCTAGATAACACCAATTAACTATACCAAAAACCATACTAAAATGTACATGTAATACATCCGGTGGGACACAAAAGCAAGTGCGCAAACAAAGCCAGCCATTAACACACACACTCACTCGTTACCTAAGAAGGATCCCGATCTGCAGGTTGCAACGGCCATAATAAATCAACCTTTACCTATGTTTCTCAAAGTTGGACTCTATGGAAGAGAAGGCTTTTAAAGGAAACCTAATGGTGACTTCATAAAAGATATACTAAATTATATAGAATAATAAATTATCATAATTAACTTTTCTGGTGTAGACTATTTCTTGATTTCCAACATAACAATGCATTTTTCCAGAACATAAACTTAGTTATTCAGTACTTTCTTATACATAAGGTAAAATGTTAGTATGAAGTTCTAAAGCTTGCGAATGCCAAGTTCTGTGGCCAATACTTTAAGCGCAAAAGATATAGTACTAAAGATGAAAGACTTTGCATTTTGCGTTATAATGGACAAAGTATTTCGATGCTCTAACTGAATGCTTGTTTTATGCTAGTCTGCCGATCAACAATTCTATTTGGGGTCAGCGCGATATGTAACGTCGCAAAAAAGTTTTAGCTGGTTTTATGGTCAACTAACCCCCCTTAAATCGATCGAAGTGGCGTGCAATTGGAAAGGCCTATGTACAGCAGTGGACTGCGGTAGGCTGATGATGATGATAATGAACCCCTCTTTAGAATGTAATCATATTCAGCATTATATAGGTTAGGATATTTACAAATATCTTAATCCCCAAAAAGTCATCACTAATGCCATTACTGATGTTTGTAATTCTTTACGTTTATTTTTATATATCTTTTACCTTTTTTGGCATGTTACTGTGAAATAAAAAAGAGCGATATGAAAGTAATGCTTGAGATCCAGTGTCCTAGTGCTTACTAGATAAGGTGTCCCATTAGATGCGTGCAGGTTCCAGACCGGTTGTAGTGAGCTGCGAAGGTTTATAAGCGAGTGCCGGGACGTCTCACGCCATTCCCGAGTTCGCTACCTAGGACTAATCTCTTCTCTCCTGAAATCGCCTGGATATTTCCTACCTCAAGATGTGGCGTCTATTTCTTCTGGGGTTCTTAGCTACGGCTTCGGCGCAAATCCCATCTCTAGGCTGGTGTCCTGATTATCAGGTAAGTGGTTTGTAGCATTATAAGTTTAAGAGTCTTACTTATATGTAAATGCATCCATGTGAATTTAATAATTTAACGATGTTTAATAAATATTTCTAAATAAATATGAAAACCATTAATTAGTGTTCAGACAAAGAGCCTTCTAAGGTTATTGCGAAGGTAATTTTATTAATGGTAAATTTAATGAATGGTATTTAACTTTTAACCTATTACTATTACTTTCGATAAATAGCCATACCTAATAATTAAGACTTGAGATATGCCTACAAAACTAATTGTTATGGTCTGAAGACGAAAGGAACTTGTAATCAACTCAAGACTGTCGTTTGGTAATAATAAATTTGTTTACATCCTACAACAGCACTGCAAAGAGAAGGAAAACTTGAAACAAACCCTATACCAACTCAATTGGCCAGCGTGGTATAGTAGGCCAAAACCTCCTTTCTAAGGAGAGACCTATGTCCAGCAGTGGACTACTAACTACATTACCTTGACCTTAACAGCACGCGATGTATACGTTACATCACTGATTATTGTCACCACAACTGGTTGTGGATGTGTTGTGGTCAATAACCGCACACTTACCGTCGTCCACTTTCATTTTCTATATTACGTGCGTACCTATAATGATGATGATGATGAATATACGTTACTATAGTTCTATACCATGGACAGAACCGATAGTGAAGATTAGGAATACCAGGTCTCCATAGTAGGGAAAGAAACGTAGACAACGCTCATATTTCACTCTTGGCGATACAAGGATCCTGTACAGGTGACTACTTACTATAAGTAAGGACCTATTTTCTTCATCATATTCTTATCGTTTCATTTCAATTTTTAGTCAACATCAGTACAGTTTTAAATTTTTACGTGATCATGACAAGAAATGTACATCGCTTTACGTATGTGCTTGCCTTTTATTACTTATCAAAATAAGTATCTCTGAGTTGCCAACACAAGTTCTTTTCTCTTCATTAACTACATAACCTTGACCTTAACGGCAGGCGATGTATACGTAATATCACTGACCGTGGTCACTACAACTGGTTGTGGATGTGTGGTGGTCAATAACCGCACACTTACCATCGTCCACTTTCATTTTCTATATTACGTGCGTACATATGACGATTGCAAAGAGATATTTATTACAGACAAAGTGAAAATATTAAAAAGTTTTCTTTTTGAAAATTATAATTATATAGAAATAAAGAAAGTTTATTAAACAAAAAATTAGTGAAAATAAATCAAGCCGTATAAACTTCCAATGTTATTACAACACGTAAAAAAGATAAATAAATTTACGGTTCCGTTGCGTAATAGAAACCCTTAGTCACAATTCTCAATTCGTCCGCATCTTTTTTTTGTGTGTGTTCACCGATTACTCAAAGACCCTGAACCGACTTTTAAAATTCTTTTTTATGCGAACACTTCGTGGTCCGTCTGTTAGTCTGTTTGATTATTAATATATTGAGGGGATTAAAGAGTCTGTAAAATCATGCTATTATTTGTTAAATAATAGTGGGATAGCAAAGCTTATATCGTTTGTTTTTTATAACAGGCAATGGCAAACTTCAACATGGACCGATTCCTTGGAACTTGGTACGAAGCGGAGAAGTACTTCACCGTATCTGAACTTGGTACCAGATGTGTCACCACCCACTACACCGCTACGCCCGAAGGCAGGATCCTCATTACTAATGAGATAACGAACTCCTTGTAAGCTAATATGTTTAGATATTACTATTTTAAGAATATTTATATTTAAAAAGACATTTTGTACTCTGCGCTTGCTTGCGCATACTTTTTTCGATTCAATTAAAGTTTTATAGTTGTTACAGATAGAGTTAGACTCTTGATATAGTACAATTAACTTATAATAGGTCGCCATTAAAATTAAATTATTTTCTTTGAATTTAGAAATGCATAACGAAATTACTCATAATCAACTTCTAAAGACCTTTATTATTAATCATCGCACTCAGAAAACGCAAATCTGATTACAAAAACATGTTTCTATTCCTTACAGAACTGGCTTCAAAAGATTAATGGAAGGACATCTTCAAATGGTGGGCCACGAAGGAGAGGGTCGTGTTTTGGTCAAGTACTCATCACTGCCGTTGCCCTATGATTTTGAGTACAGTATTCTAGACACTGACTACGATTCATATGCAGTCATGTGGGCTTGCAGCGGTATTGGCCCAGTACATACTCGTATGTTTTCTTTTTATAACTTCTTCTTTCTCTGTACACGGTTATTCAGTACTTTGGATACGGTCAATCTTGTATAAAGGTTTGTTTCATTCTTAGGGTTCCGTACCTAGAAACTGTAACGGAACTCTTATGCCATACAGTGCAGCTGTACATGATCTCTTCCAATAAATAAAAAAAATATTTTGGCTTTTATGGAAAGTAGATAACTAATTATGTTTTTTTTTAAGTTAGCTAAATATTAATCCTGTTATTGACAGAAAACACCTGGCTCCTAACCCGTGAGAGGCTCCCATCTCTGTCTGTGATGCGGAACGCGTATGCTGTGCTGGATAAGTTCAAGATCTCGAGGACCTTCTTCCAGAAAACAAACCAGGCTGACTGCACGATATTACCCGCACCGGCTGCTTCAAACGAATTGGCAGAAACCAAGGCTATTGAAGAAGTGCCTGCAGCAGTGCCTGAGAAGGAAGTTGAGCAACCAATTAAGGTATGTTTTAGTGTTCTGGAGTATACCTGGTTACCTGGAGACGGCGTGTGGTTTTTGGTCGGTTAGAGTCAGTTAGTCAGTCAGTCGGTTTGACATTAGTCCTAACTAGTATGTAACATACATTTATTTTCTTTAATACGCCTACGCGTTTTAGGTCGGCAAAGTGTTTCATAAAAAACTGTTTTGTCTCATACAAATATACAAGTTATGTACTGAGTGTTGACCTGAAATACTCGGTACATTACTTGTATATATGTATATCTTTTTGTAAGGATTTTACCCAAAGATTTTCTCAAATCAGAGAAATCAAGATCAATGCAGCATGTTCTGATTTTATATGGACTGGATATGGATTCTATAAAATTTGGACATTATATTGCAAGCCAATATCCTTTTATTTCAAGTCTCCACGTCTAGTATTGCATACCCATAATTCATGTATATTTAAGTATTCTTTATTATTCCAGAAAAGAGTAGATCCGGAAGTCAAGGTTAGCGAGACAGAAATGCGATCGGCTATCCCTGCTTCTAAAAACCTCGAAAAGGCTGAGGAAGCCAAACCGATGCAAGTACCAGAGCTTATCATGTCCGAATCTGAGAAGGAGGTGGAAAAAATCAAGATTCCAGAGGAACCACTGACACTTAAAACAGAAATGAAAGGCCAACTCGCACAGTAATAAGAACCGTTAGAAACCAGGGCAGCTGTCTCAGTTGAATTGTCAGCAAATTTGTTTAGGAATGTTGTGACTTAAATAAAGAACTAAGATTCACAATAATTTGTGTATAGTCGTCATCAATGCTGTTTCCTAATATAATATTTTCACAATATAAATAAATAATATTTGTAGAGACGATTTATAAAAATCATTAGTAGGTCACTTCCTTGATATTCCCCTGGATTAAGTTAGATGTGTAATTTTTGTGAGCATTGAAGTGTCTCCCGGGCTACTTTACCAAATAAGTTGTAAGTACCTACTTGACACAACTCGCTGTTTGCTGTGACAAGCGTCGTTTAGTTGTAACTCGATAGTCATTGTAATAAGCGAAATCAGTTCTGAATAAAGCAGTAAAACATTTTCTATAGTTTAATTATGAATGGAATTTACACCGTATCAGTTTTTAGAATCAATCATAAAAATACACAATTTTTTTTGTACAATTTTTTAAATAAGAATTATAATTAATATTGTTATAAATAAATAACCTTTAACATTTTTCTTATAAATGTGGCACACGAAAGCATTTCATATTTTAATATGCTTACTATTCACAAATATATAGAAGAAGTGCAGAAAGCAAAATATTTTGAGGATATGCACTACAAACAAAAAAAGATATAAAATAATAGGGTCCAGTATATTTACCTACATTTTGACCTTAATATACATTCAAAACTCGACGTGAAAATTCGACGGTTAGGCGATCTCCAATATATATTAATTACGTTATCATCATCATCAACAGCCTTTAATGGTCCACTGCTGGACATAAGCCTCTCCTTAGAAAGAAGGTTTTGGCCTACTATACCACGCTGGCCAGACGGGTTGGTATAGGGTTTGTGTCAAGTTTTCCTTCTCTCTGCAGTGCTGTTGTTCTGCGTAGTTTTTTCCCTTAGTCGGCTCTTACGACACCCACGGGATGAATAGGGGTGGTGACACTCTGTATTCTTAATCCGTCACCACACGGACCACGGATAATTACGTTATGCTGAAATACTATCTGCATTATTGTGCCAGCATTGGTATACAAACATTGTGCCAACCTCAAATAAAATTAGGAACAGGGCAGAAGCACCATAATGATGACTGATTTGAAACGGCACGTCACCGAGCTATATATCCTAATGAGTGAAATACCGCATCCCCTTTTAAAAACCAGTTAGTAATTAACTTTTAAAAACAGTGTATCATCGACTTCTATGAGCCTGAATTATGATAAATTGTAATGAGCTGTAACAAGTAGGAATATGTATGATCGTAGGTAGCAGTGTAACATATAAACAAATGTAGAGTGGATGGTCTTTAAATTTAAATAGAACTAACTTTACTTACAAGCAATTCAATGAAGTCAATTTAAATAAGACGAAAATTCCACGTTACATACAAAAATATTCTCTGAATTGAGAAAGCCATTCTTTCTGAAGTAATTTGAAAATTGTTGCAAAATAATCAGTGATTTAGCTAATGGAATTAGTTCTTATATAAGAACTAATTTGTGGTTATTTTAAGCATGTTAAAATTAAGAATGTGAGCGCCAGTTACACAGAAATAGTCAAAATCTGAATGTACTACTCCTCGGGGTAATGCTTAATAAGTACAATTTAAATCGGTTTAAAATAAGGAATTCTGGCAACGACTACTAAGCTACAGATTCAAATTGAAAGCTCTTTTGATCATTCACAATCAGGAATAGGAAGAAACTTTATATACGTACGAGTATAAACAAAAAATGACCTTAATAACTTGACTTGACCTTAATAATAAAAACAGTAATTTTTGTTATTGGCTTGACTTGGTTGGTGAAACTACAGATACAAAAAAGAATGACAGAACGTTGAAAATGAATTTTATATCAAGCGACAAAAGGAACGGGTCTGATTTTATTGGTCAGGCTGTTACTGAGCACTCACTCCCGGCCGCTATCCCACTACTGCCCGATACGGAGACTTTTGGCTGCTGGGTTTCCCCCCTGGCCCGGTTCGCCTCTCCTTAGTTAACCTGCATCCCCCGGACTCCTCCAGGGGATCCATATTAATACCGGGCTTAGTGTGGACGTCCAGTCAACATGGGCCACTCAGCACCAGAACTCCCGACCTCAAACCATCCTCCGGTCCCGACCTCCGAGTAGCCGGATTACAGGAGACGCCACGCTCCCAGTCGAGAGGCTTTCTCAAATTGTCGTACATATTCCACAAAAAGACCTGCCTTCAAATTTAATGATTTTTTTTAAACTTTAAAATAATATTTTTAACATATATGCAAAATTTTCGTTCTATTAAAATATTTCTTAGAGATAAATTATTTAAACATTAAAAAAAAAAACAAATTCTACAACAGCTCGGCCTGTTGATTATATCAAGTACTAAAAGTGTAGGTACTAAACTTGTCGCGCTCTAACCTACTTATTAGTTCAAATAAAATTGTAGAGATGGCGCTGGTGTAAGCATTACTTACAGAAATCAGAAAACAAATATATTTATCGAAAATAATAGTTTTTCAATATTTTTCAATAATTTTTTAAGTAATAGGCTCAATAGGGGACAGCATAAACAAATCCTATATCAGTAATAGCAGAAGTTGACACTGTAGGAATACGACCATAATATTAAAATTAAAGGAATAGTCCGTATAAGCTCTATCGGGTAGAATATACCAAAGAATATTTACAATTAACCAAAAATTATGTAAAATATTTTCATTTTATCGTCATGTTAATATTATAGACGATAACAGGCAGGTACCTAATGCGTCCTACCAAATTACACAGAACGTGGTCACGGTCAGACAGATTTACAATACAATATCGAGTAGAACAATCTAGTCTGAACGTACCTCGCAAAAACAGATAATAGATACTGACAAAAAATACTTAAATATTGTTTTAATAATCCAACGATATTATGTTCCGGAACTGAACGTTTTTACTTCCGCCCTACGAACGCCCTACCTTACTGTACAGTGTTACTATTATGGACATATCTTTAGCAAATAGAACTGATAAACCGCGCCTTACATTTACAGTTCTCTAGAAATACATAAGTTATGCGATAAGCTTTCTAAAGCAATGACCAATAATTATTCAAAAAAGAAATTTCTAGAATACAGAGTATACACGACACAAATAATTGTCGACTACCTTACCTATAGATTAAACTTTCTAATCATTTTAGGAATCAAAAAAGAAATAAAAAAATATGTTTAAACATAAAGAGTTTCTTTATTAGCGACCATCATCTAAATCAGACATTGGGCATTTTATTAGAATTCAAGATGGTAGAGCTGCGACTCTACCACACTTTTATCGTTGACATTCCGCCAAGTCCGCCCCGTCCAACAAAAAAATAATAAGGCAAAGCGTACCTTGCCCCTACATTATAATAAGTAGATTCAATTTGCTGTCATTAAATTTACAATAATTAGGAATGGTTGATTACCTCCGAAAACTTACGAAACTTGTGAAACTTACGAAAACTTAAAAATAACATAAATATTAGATAAACATGTATATTAATTATGCACAGTCTGGGATTTATTTAATTTATCGTTAGAAACCTCCTTTCTAAAGAGAGCCCTATGTCTAACAGTGGTCTACTAAAGGCTGTTGATGATGATAATGGGATTTATCGCGATCACGTAATGGTTTTAACTGGCCGTGGTCACAAGCTGACTGCCAAAGCAATCTTGTCGAAACGTCAGGTATGTTTTACCTATTACACGATCACGTTAATTTCCGTACATATACATAATCGTTCGACAACGACAGAAGCCAAAAAGTAAGTACTAAAAAATACTGTTAATTTAAATTTAAATTACCTACCAATGTAATTTACCTACAATATACATCCTTTAAAAAAAAGTGCAGCGACTTTTAACAATACTGTTAAAGAGCAAAACTAAAAATTAAAAAATAATTACAATTATAAGTAAAGAACTATAATAAGTGCGACCCTCAATATAACAAGTAACAATAGCAATAGTCCCTTCTAGTCGGTTTGAAGTAATTTGCATCAGTAGGCCAAAATCTTTTCTCTATGTCGAATAGTAGACTGTTAGGGGCTGATGATAATAATAAAAAAAAATGGCAACTGTATGTTCATATAATTTTACAGTTATAAAAAACAATCCTGTGTAAAAGTAGTATTTAGTAGTAGTTAGATAACCATTTTCTTTGCTATGTCCAGTCAGTAAAATAATTAAAACTTAATTAACTCGAAACACACAAGGTTCAACATGCCAAACTAGGTCGGTAATGTGCGCAGCTCAATTAAGCAAAGATAATATATTTAACCTACAGTTAAAAATAAGCGAATTTAAGAAAATAACTAGCATCTATCAATATTACAAAGAAAGAAAAAAGAGACAGTGACCTTTTAACACTAAAGTCATGACAAAAGTGGTTATATCTCAAGTAAACATGACACATCATTACGACGCAACGAATGTCTAGATCGGTAACCGTTATCCACATAACATGCCATTCCTATAGTGCCTAGGCAAATCAGAAGACCAGTAAATATATGAGATCGTTTTCATCATCATCAACAGCCTTTAATAGTACTGTTGGATATATGCTTCTCCTTAGTGAGGAGGTTTTGACATACAATATCGTTATATTTTTGTAATTATATGAGGATCCGATCCCAAGGAGCCGATGATACGAAGGGATTCTTCATTGTCATTTTCGATTGTCAATTTACTCTACATAAACAAATGACAATTAATTGTATTTTTTTTAGTATTTGGCATATCTCTATCCTTGTGTAAATCCAACCTAGACAGAACCTTAGTAATGTTCACGCGGCTGATCAAGAAACGTTTATACCACTGCTTTTGCCCATGGCTTTGCTTGCGTAAATGTCAATTTTGTCATCATCATTATCATTTTTGGTAGAGAATGTAATTATAAAAGGATCATTTGTGCAAAATTTCATACTTTTAGATCCAGCGGTTTCAGCTGTGCGTTGATCGATCAGTCAGTGAATCACTCTGTCAGTTTCTTCTTTTATAGATATAGATTATACATTCACATAAAGTTTGAAATCAGTCGCAGAACAGATGATCATGCCCATCACACAAATATTCGTCACGAGGATGGCATGAAATCCTATTACCTCCGGATCACTGACCACTTAGAGTAGGGTGCCTAAGGCTGGCCGTCAGGGTGTTTTTAGTGGAAACGCCACATACTCCTGGCTTCTGTATCCCCAAGAAATTTTCTATCCAATTTTCCATCAAAGAAAAGACCAACATTCCCATTATGAATCTATCGGTTTATAAAGTTACAGAGTTAGTTACCAAAATGTTATGAGTGTGAAGTTTATAAACATCCGTCCCATTGATAACCTCCTCTTAGAGGAGAGGCTAATGTCCAACAGTGGACTATTCAAGGCACTTGATGATTATGATGATGATGATGATAAACCTCATGCTATAAATAAATTTTTAATTAATGTAAGTATTACATTCAACCTGCATTGTCCAGACTTCTTAAATTTTACCAGTTTTACCAACAAAATACTGTATAACAAAGATAAAATATGTAGAATCTTATAAAATTATCGGTGGACATTTTTTGTCCAAAAACTAAATAAAATTTAGTATACATGTTCAAAAACCTAATTTATTTTGTTTTAGAAATGCAAAATTCATCTACCCAAAATAAAATAAATATTTTCATATGACTCGCTCTCTAACCCATAATAGGTTAGAATTTACATTTAAAAGGAAGTCCATACACTCAGCAGCAAGGTGCAGAAAATTGTATATAGGCGAGGGAATACCAATTTTGAAACGGTAATCCAGATAGCAATAACTCAGAAGAGGCTTTGACTTACTACTATGTCGATTACTAAGGTAGTTTTAAAAACACTATTCCCTGGGTCTAAGAAAAAACGTAAACTAATAAGAGAAGCAAACTCAGATGGCATGTAACAGTCAGTGCGGACGGTCTTGTGTCGTGTAGTGTTTCTACAAGCATATATCGTGATTATAAAGTCAAGGTAAGATACCTACTTGATTTGTTTGGTTTAGATTTTTTAACTTCGTGTGAACGAAGTATAGACATGTATTTTAATCGTAACTTAGTATTACTTAATTTGAATATAAGGTTAAAACGATACTAGCAGTAGTTAGTGCAAATAGAAAGTCAAATAAAATTCTAATTTTAAATCCTAGAAACGATCCTGATAACTTCTTTTGTTATTTATTTCTTTTTCATTTCAAAAGTATCAAAATTTATTAGTCAACAATACAATCAAAATAGATAATTTTAGAATAATATAATAATTAATTCAACTATTTTTTCATTTCCTTTTGAATACTATCGTAAGAGTCCCGCAAAAACTTTATTATCTTTAAGGTATTTATATTGAATATATTTTTATATATTATAATATGGGCCATGTTCATAAATTTAGACCTGTGTTCATATATCAGATTTGCTATTGAATGTTGTATAAATACATTTCGCGCCCACATAACGTAGTCATTAATTTTTATTTAATTTTATTTTCATTCCCTAACGGACGTTTGGAAAAAAGATTCTCATCAGGTACTTAATAGTTTTTGCTGTATTGTTACTTTTTTAATCATCTTAAAATATAACCACCTTACCGATAAAGCACGAAAATTTAAAGTAACAAACTGCAAAATAAACTCGGAATCTTCCATGATTTTGAGACGATTTTATAGAAAATCTAGTAAAAAGTATACGTAAAATTTTGAAAAGTTTTTATGTTGCACTGAGCTGGCCGGTGAATGGCTGTGATTCATTATTTTCATGACCATTTCAGTCATTTACCAGAGAATGATGCATACACCATAATATATTTAAACAATCCAAATTTAAATCGTGCGTATTTAATCTTTCATATTTGTATGAAATAAGAGGTAAAATTAAAAGGACTGTAAACAACAATGGCAGAAACATATTAACCTAAAACTTAAGCGTTAAAAAAATGAACTTACAGTAAACTTAATAACTATTTTTTTTATGATTTATCATTAAACCACCATGTGTTGTATAAGTATTAAAAAAAATGGCATGTTTTGAAGAACTCATTAGCACTTAGTGCTTTACTCGTGCGTAGTGTCAGATTCGTCATCATGTATAACTGACTAGGGATGTGTGATGGCATTATTATATTATGGAACGTTTTATTGATCATTAATTTTTATAGCTTTGGCTGAATTACCTACCGTAGGTTCACCTTTTATGATTATGGATTTGCTTCTGCCCAAAGGTTCACTCGTACGCTAGAGTGACTAAAGCAACATAATTATAAATAATTTAGAATGTTTTTAATGCTTTTTAAACGATTTTTGCTAGATTAAATAAATAGAATATAGTTACGATATTTTAATAACAATACATGCGGGTGCCGGGTCTATCACGCAATGAACTCGGCACCCACACGGTGAATCTGAACGCTAAGAAATAGGCCTACTTAGAAAGTCGGCTAACACTTTCAACAGCAAAATAGGGTTATTACTAAATAATAATGAAAATAATATTTTTTAATTCAAAACACTTACAATATGTTAGTACTTATAGTCGAAATATTCAAAATCCAATATCTTTTTTCCTAGACTTCTCTCGTTAGTAATTTTGTTATGAGAATAACCAAGAATAAATTCTCAAGTGTTTTAGGCATTTTTGATATTTCAACGCTACCATTTCACTTGAAATAACATTATGTATGAGGACCTGCCATTGTCCTTTCAACTGTCTTACGTATACAAGTGGCCTAAAAAGCTTAGGTAAAAGAGCGAACAGTTAACAGCTTTCTCACTTTTTGAAATAACGGTGTTGGGTCCACCCACACCAATATTGCTGTATATAGTAAATCCCGTAATTTTAAAAGCACTAAATAGCGTTGGCGTATACTATGGCGCCATTCATTGATATATGTCCGATTTAAATATCCTAATGAAAGGCCGAAATCCTTTCATTGGGATCTTTAAATCGCAATCGGTGATTGTAGAATACACCGGTACGTCTTAAGGTATTCACCAATAGCAGATATTAACAGTAAAATTTTATACAACTTAAAGATGAGTTAATTCTTGATGAATGAATTTTTTTTATTTAATGAGTTGCCTTAAAGAATTTGTATTTTCTATTAAGTTTCTATAACTATAACGATAGTTCATAATAAATGCAGTTGAAAGGAGGTTCCCCATTTTTAAACATGTTTAAGTAGAAATCGTCTAGGTCACAACTTTCTTTTAGTAAATACCTGTTGTAGATTTTCTTTAGTCCTCTCTCTTTTAAGTTACCTTTCGTACTGTGAATATATTTAGTATTTTACATTTGTCTGTTTACGCTTAATTAAACAAGCTTTATAAAAGCAGTTTACACTTTCTTTTATTAATGGACATCGATTTGTATAAATTTAGCTGGGATCTTCGTACCATTAAATAATGTATTCACATTCAAATTCAAACGATTTCACTTTCGTTACTCGCCGTATATGTGCCGTGTTTTCGTTGCGTATACAATGATATTGATTTTGTCCATTGATGTCCCTGTTTTAGAGGAGCATCTAATCGCAATACATACGGAGGATACGCGATCCCAGCCTCTTCAGGCTACTGCGGTTAGGTACAATTCTGTTTCCCCATTCGAAACTAACCGTGGGAGATTCATCCTTTTTCACAAATGGGAAGGCTCGACCGGAGTGATACCACGGCCGCATAGAAAACTGGTGTAAAGCAGTTCTTTTGTTGCTTTTCACTGAGTGACTGAGGTTGTTGTCGGTGTGGTGACGGATTAAGAATACGGAGTGTAATCTATTTAACCCGTGGGTGTCGTAAGAGCTGACTAAAGGAGGAAACTACGCAGGACAACAGCACTGCAAAGAGAAGGAAAACTTGACACAAACCCTATACCAACCCGCCTGGCCCGCGTGGTATAGTAGGCCTAATCCTCCTATCCAAGGAGAGGTCCAGGAGTGAAAAGGCTATTGATGAGTGGCTGAAGTTATTGGAGTTCTAAAATCGGTAGTCCTATCGCTAATTGTGATTTCTTGCACCCAACAACCTTAGTCACGGATCATTTTTTTCGTTCTCATACGTATATATTATACCTTCATTCATTCTCTCTAATTTCATTCTCATCATAAGATATATTTCTATGAAAAAAAATGTTGGTATAAATGAAATTACAATATTTATATAAATATACCCCTCGAGGTGAAAAATTAAGAGATGAAGAAAACAGGTTTAGAGACTTCAAAGTCGACTGCCATTTTCTTAATTTTTTTTTATCGTAAGTATAGTTCTCGCCGCTTGATACATTGTGTATTTCTTTTGTTTGATAAAGATCGAGTCATACTTCAAAACAATAATGAATAAATAACAATACAAATTAAGAGGTTTGACAAATACACATTAAGGGTGAAAGTTACCTTGGAATTAAATTAATTTTTAAATACTTCCAATTATGATATATTTCTACATTTAATTTTATTTATAGGTACTTACCTACTCGTCACTATCAATATCACTTGATTTTGAAAAATAGTGTATTGTCACAAAAATTCCACATACCTAGCCAACTAATAGGGGACTGCCTCCTCGTTATGAAATATACTGAAATTTACCCATTATTGAAAATCTGACAGGTCTAAGACGTTCCTACGCCTATTTTAGTAACTAAGAAAAAGGGTAAAAGTTATGTTAAACAACACACACACTTTATTGTGTGCGTGTGTGATTGTTTGTATGAAATTTAGCACAGAAATAGATTTTAGTCGTGAATAACACAATAACACAGACTACTGAAAAAATATTTACCCAAATTCGCCATTAGGTACTGTGTGCGAAACCGCAAGTAAAAGCTGAAGTGGGCTAAATAGACGGATAAAATCGCTTGCAATACATATAATGGTATTGACTAGTATACCTTCGAACCTGCGAGAACCCTGAATGTTTTGTTAAATGGTCGTAAAGAGCTAATAAAACAAAATAATTTTAATTAGCATTGGTATATCAAAGCTTCTTTTTATACGTGTTATTAAAATACCACGCTTTACGTCATGAGGTCTGATATTTTTAATAGACAATTAGATGTCCGAAACCGAATTACAGCTACATATTCGTAGAAAAATAATAATTTATAGTAGAAACTTTTGAAAGTTGTGGTTAAATTACGTTTAGATAAATCATTATGATGATGATGATGATGAAGCGGAGTAGGTTTTAATATTATTTTTGTTCTGTGATCCTAGGCATATCTACTGACAACCTTTTTCTCCGATTAACCTTGTATAAAACTTCTATATTTTTTTGAAATCCTATGAACACCATGTTCTTTTAAGGTTAATACACGAAAAAAGTAACCTATAGGTTCCACATATCATTAAAGAAAAATATCTTGTAAAAGTTCATTGTCACCTTTGTAGACTCGAGCCTAAACAGCCCCCTGTCTGTCAGTAATCTTCACAACGAAGCTTTTTGTCCTGAAGGCATATTCTCGTAATAAAAGTTCCGTCTTAATATTAAGTAATAATTAGAGTTAATCGGAACTGAATTGAGACCAAACTTTTATTACGAGAATTTTCCTTCGGATGCTATGTAAGGTCTTTAAAGTCTGGTGACCCCTAATGGTATGAATACTCCCTAATGATGCTGTAGCTTCACATATGAGTATTATGTGTTAAAATAAATGTGCTAATGACTGTTCTTTGTTAAGACGTTACCACTGACGTGAACCGTCAATAGTCAGTCATATTTTTGTTTTCTTGATACTGTCGTTGAATTTCAAGTTCAACGTTCAAGTTCAATTTTTAAACTTTTAATATTTTTGTATACTTCACGCTTTATCATCAGCATTAAGAGCCTTTTGTAGTCAACTGCTGGACATATGCTTCTCTTTAGAAAGGAGATTTAGGCCTTCTGACATATACCAGCCTTGCCACACGGGTTGGTATATGATTTGTGTCAAGTTTTCCTTCTCCTTGCAGTGCTGGTGTCCTGTGCAGTTTGCCCCCTTTAGTCG